TGTTCTAGGGACCACATTTTAAGAGAGATGGGCAAACTAAGAGGCATTCAGAAAACTGTTACCACAATGGACAAGAAAAGAAAAGCCACACCAAATAAGCATCAGTCAAAAGAGTTAGCTGTTTAGGCTGAAAAAAAATATTCTGGTGCAGGGGTCAGGAAACGATGGTCCATGAGCCATATCCAAGCTGTCGTGTGCTTTTGTAAATAAAGTTTTATTGGAACTCAGCCACATCCATTTATTTATATAGTGTCCATAGCTGCTTTTCATGCTCTTGTGTCAGAGTTGAGTAGTATGACAGACAACATGGCCTGCAAGGTTTAAAATATTTACTCTCTGGCTCACTACAGAAAAAGTTTACCAACCCAGCTCTGGAAAAAGAGAATGAGGAAAGAGAGGGAAGAAAATACGGGGAACTATGGCTGCATTATAAAATCTGTTGTAAGAAAGAAGAATTTGACTATTAGATAAACAACTGAAGAGAAATAGATTGATGTTATAGGACAAGAGATCAGCTGAATATGAGAAAAAGTTCTCCTTATATTGAATCCACACCAGAATGGCTGCTGGGTAGTAAAAATGATGTCCACTGGATGTCACATGCAGCAGGTGGACTGAGGTCCCCAAGTGGCAGGCAAGTTTAGCTGAAGATTTTGTTAAAGAAAGCAGGCAGGCTGAAGGGTTTTGAAAGACAGGACATCTCTTGAGAAGCATTGTAATTGAGCTTCGGATCTGTCCATAAGGATTTGAATCAACAGCAACAGCCTGTGCATAGGAAATGTTCGGTCCATGGTAGATTTGGCCTTTTTGCTAAATCATGCTGAGAGAATCACAGTGAAACTTTACATTCAAAAAAAATGTTAAGCCCCAGTAATTAGTAGGTTTAACAGGCCGCATCTCCTAATCCTTTCCTTTCAAAACAGACATCTGCTGATGTTCAGCCTACCACACCTCCCTTCTATTGAGACTTACACCTCTTCCCACTCCAGTCATGTGGCACCGGTGGGGTGGGAGCTGTCATGATCTTTTATGACCCGGCTCCCCTGGTCACGGTTGATTGGTCCAGGAATGGGCATCTGGCCTAAATAGGCCAGTCAAGAGTTCTTCCCTTGGATTTTGTTTCCTAACTCTAAGTGGAAAAACATAGTTACTCTCCATGATGACAGAAAGTGTGGAGTGACACAACAGGAGTTTTTATGGCCACATTCCTCCCCTTATGGAGAAAACCAGTCCTGACTGAGAGAAAATTAAGGAGATGTGCAAAGGCAGACACATAGACGAAGAGAGATCTGGTGACGTGTGAGCCCCTGGCTCTGGGAGCCCAGCTGTGTCACTGTCCCTTCCATGTGCTGGAAGGAGTGCCACGTCCAAGCTGTCCAAGCACAGAATAGCGTCACTGGTATCATCAGATCAGATAACAAAACTATCAGTGACAATTGATCATCATATTAAAACTAACTAACATCTGTTGAGCACTAGGGTCCAAAGTATTTTTTTTCTTTTTTACCTGCTTTATCTACCCTTTACCTGCTGCATTAGTCAGGATAGACTAGGTTATGCTACAGGAACAAACAAACCCTAAATTCTCAGTGGGCTTAGCAACAGAGTTTGACTTCTCACGTTCATGTCCACTATGGGTTGGTGGGGGACTAGGCTCCATATGGTGACTCAGAAACCCAAATAATGGAAAGGCTATCATCTCACCACAAGGCTTCCACAGTGACTGTGGCAGGGGTGAGAGAGTGGGATGGTTATGCACCAGCCCTAAAAAACTTCAGGCTGGAAGTAATGCATATGGCTCCCATTCACAGCACATTGGCTATTATTACAACGGGCTGAGAAATGAGGGGGAGCATATGGCTATCCCATGAGTAGTCAACATTCTTGGTGACATGCATTATCTCATCAGTGCCTCACAATCTCAGGAAATATATCAATATTCCTTTTTACAGAGAAGGAAACAGAGGCATAGAGAGATTATGGGACTTGCCCCAAGATGTCACAGATAGTAAGTAGCAGAGCTGAGAAGTGAACCAGGCCTGGCAAGCTTCAAAACAGCTTCAACTGAAATGTGTTATTCTCATCAAAAAATTCTGTGAAATTTCTCATATAGCAAAAACACCATGCCAATTTACAGGAGAAGCCAAGTTATGCAAATACAAAATGGAGCCCCCCTGACACATGACCTCCTCACCCCCAAAGATTCAACCTAAGCAAATACCTGAAACAGATTTCTCAGGCAATTTGAGCAAAAAGGAAATGGATCATCGATCTGAGTCTGATAGCCAGCGTTCAGTCCTTTCATATCAAGACAAAAACCTTCCAAACACTTCCCCTGAAAACCTGAACAAACTGTCACCTCCTGTCTCTGGAAAACTAGTGACATCTTTATACAATGCACATATCTTTCTAAGATGCAAAGGTATCATATACCCACAGGTAGAGGCCAGAAGCAGGAAAGTTAGGAGACTATTGTCATATCTGGATGAGTTACTTGGTGAAGGTGCTTCCAACAAGCTAATCCAACTTTGCTAAGCCAGCAAAACTCAAATCTAGCACCAGCTCCTCCAGCCCTACCCTGCCTGGTTTCTCTGGGTTAGGACCCTCTCCCTGTGCTCCTGAATTACTTCCCATGCGCACCCCAGCAGGGCTCTTTCATTGAATGTGACTTTACTTGTCTGTCTGTCCTCTGGACTCTGAGCTACCCACTGGCAACCTCTGTGTTTGCACTTCTGTGTGTCCTGCACACAGCATACAGTATGTGCTCGATGGAAGGGTGGATGCTTAAGCCTGTTCAAGGAAATTTGTTCCCTTGGGGACTTAATTCCTCATGTGCCCAGCAAATGTGTAGCCAAGTGTTCAAACTACAGTCCTAGCCTCACTTCTGTTGTGTGAACAAATGTTCATAGCAGCGCTATTCACAACAATCAAAAGGTGGAAACAGCCCAAATATCCATCAGTTGGCTAGAGGACATATAAAACATGACATACCTATATAGTGAAATATTATTCAGTCATAAAAAAGAATGAAGTGCTGACACATTACAACATGGATGAACCTTGAAAACATGATGCTCAGTGAAAGAAGCCAGACATAAAAGTCACATACTGTATGATTCCACTTACATGAAATGTCCAGAAGAGGAAAATCTAAACAGACAGAAAGCAGATCAGTGGTTGCCAGGGGCTGGGGGAGGAAGGAATGAGGAGTGACCACTAATAGGTGCAGGGCTTCCTTTTAGGGTGATGGAAAAGTTCTGAAACTAGATGGAGGTGAGAGTCACACAACACTGTGAATGCACTAACTGTCACTAAATTTGCACTTTCATATGGATAAGATGGTGAGTTTTCTCTTATGTGTATGTAACCACAATAATTTTTTTTTTCTTATGGGGAATTTTCAACTGGTAACCTTCCTAAGATTTCCAAAAAATTTTTTAATTAAATTGAATAGATGTGTTTGTAGTGTTCCCAGGCATCACGGGCACTCAGTCTAAGTTTGCATAGTCATAATGAACAAAAATTTATTCACTCTGTAAAAAGAAGATACACTGAGCAAAGGAAAGCACCAATCTAATTTGTTCCCCATCTTCACCACAGTGGAACTAGTATAAGAATCCAAAATATTTCACATAGTTGACTTTTGTTATCATAGTAAAATACACATAATTTATCATTTTTACCATTTTAAAGTGTACAGTTCATTTGCATTAAGTGCATTCACAATGTTGTGCAACCGTCACCTCTATCCATTTCCAGAAATTTTTCAGCACGTGAAACATGGTATCTTGTTACACTCCAGGTATTTCAATCCACAATAGAGCTAGGGCAGAATTATCAATCTGGACTTTGTTCAACCATAGATAAAAAAAAAGGAGAAATGGGAGTGGGCCTATGAACTCTGCGAGGTGTGCGTGAGGTGCTCACAGTATGACGGAGCTCAGGGCCCTCACACTGCTGCTGCCTGCCCTGCTGGGCTGGGCCAGCGGCCATCCCGCCCGCGGGAGGAAGAGCTTCAACAAGCTGCTGCTGATCTCCTTCGATGGCTTCCGCTGGGACTACGACCAGGATGTGGACACCCCCAACATGGACCGCCTGGCCCTGCAGGGTGTGAAGGCCAAGTACCTCACGCCGCCCTTCGTGACAATGACCTCCCCATCCCACTTCACCACCATCTCAGGTAAGCTCTGCTCTGCAGCCAGTCTGCTGATGCTGGTGGAAGCCCTGGTACCTGTCATTCCCTGAGATACAGTCAATTCTCAGCTCTGGGGAGAGTGAGGCAGCTCATAGAACTTGGGCTCACCCCCTGGAAGAAGGGCTGACTTAGAATATCCTGCGATGCTCAAAGCTGTTTCTAGAACTGCATGGGCTATGGAGTGCAGCCTGAAGACATACCACGGCTACAGCCTCCCGAAAGATCTCCCAGCTCCCCAGCCCAGCCCATCTCTGCCTTGCACGCACGCAGTGGCTGGAGATCATTTTAAAAGGACATCACTTAAAAAATTTATAAAAGTAATAAAACATTGATGTTTAAAGAACTCAGATCAAATAACTGCCCTGTTTAATACTGGCAAGTTGGAGGGACACCAATGCTCTTGGAAGAGAATTCAAATTTTGTCTTTCTGTGGTCCCAAAGGCCCCCACAGCCTAGTCCCTGACCCGCTCACTCCGGCCTTTCTTGTTTCTCTTCCCCACGCATGCTTCTTTCCAGACCACGAAGGCCTGCTGCCCACGTCTCCAGCAGGCCCCCACTGGCCTCGGGGCCTCTGCCTGAACTGGTTCCCCCAGCTCACCTGGAACATGTAGCCCAGTGGGGGAGAGAGACATTGAACAAGCAAACACACTAACAGATCTCATTACAACTCAGGGAGGCACCAGGAAGAAAGAATTTCTCTGGGAGAAGAGAGCAAGGTCAAATTGACTTGAAATTGGAGAGGCAGGGAAGGGCTCTCTGAGATGGGGTGGTTGAGCTGAGAGCTGAAAGAGACCTCAGGAGACATAAGAAGGAAAACTGTTCCAGGCAGGGGGAAAGCATGGTCATTAGAGAATCCCAGCTGCCAGCATCCACAGGACGGCACAATAATAAAAATAACAATAGCTTCTGTTCGTCCAGCATGAGCCTGATGCTGGACATGTTCAGCCGCTTCGTCTTCTTTCTCTCTCATACAGGGACACTGCAAAGCAGGTGTTGTCCTCATCCCGTAGATGAGAAAACTAAGGCTCAGAGAGACCAAATAACTCACCAGCCACTCGGCCAGGAAGTGGGGGAGGGGGAAGCCAGACCTAGAGCTCTGGGTTTCCCGGAGCCACATGAAACTGGTTCTGCCCAGTTCCGGTCCTAGAATCTGCAAGCCCCTCTCTCTCAGGACAGGGAGAGGTGCCTGGAAGCATGGGCCTCACCCTTAACCAGGGAGCCATTCCTGGGGGTCCAAAGCAGCTCCAGCCTCTGAAAACTCACGCAAGCCACTGGTGCCTTTTTGTGAGGAGAGGATTTTATCACTTCTAACAGGCTCTCAAAGGGGCCCTCAAATCAGAAACTTTAAAAAACAAAGCTCAAATAACCACTCAGAGGGAATTTTGCTGAGAGAGATTTTCCTACATGTAAACTGTTTGAGAAACAAGTCATTTGGGAACTATTAGCGCCAGGAAGCAGGAACTAAACAGCCCTTTTCTAGAGAAAGTGAATGCCACTTCCCAGAGGCATTAACTTCATAACACTTAAAAATCTCCCATGGGCTGATTCTGCGTCCCTGAACACTGAGAATATGATGGGCACAAAATATTAAATGGCATGCCCACCTTTTATTTATTCCCAGAAGGTTTTTGATGAGAAGATAGAAATAGTGAAAGCAAATTTTTTAAGTTAGAAAATCACCCCCATCTCCTTTCCTACGCTCATTGCCAGTGTGGAAACAGGGGCAGCTTCAATAGAGGTTAATTTAGCAACATCCAATACAACCACAAATGCACAAACTCTCTTATTTAGCAGTTCCACTTATAGGACTTTATCCTACAGATATATATTTGCTTAGTGGAAAGCAATGTGATACATATACAAATGTATTCATTGCATTAGTGTTTGTAACCACAAAGGAAAATAGAAGCAACCTAACTATCCATCCATAAGGGAGTGGCTAACCAAACACCCACAAAAGGGTATACTGTCACCTTTAAAAGAAAAAATGAGGAAGTTCTTTGTGACCTGAGAGGAAGCTATCTCCAAGATGGATTAAATGACAAAAGCAAGATGTAAAGAATGTGTGTAGCCTACATATATATGTGCATATGATATATATGTGTATATATGTGCATACAACTTCTTATAGATGCATTGGATAAACTGACAAGAAACTGGTAATGCTGGATCCTCCAGGGAGGGTAGGAGGGAAACGCTGGACTGTACACCCCATGTCCCTTTTAGGTCTTGGACCATGAGAAATGTATTGCCTATAAATAACAAAGTGCTATAACACAAAATAATCATTTTAACTCACCCACTGTGGAAAAAACATGTTCCTCTGTCCCTCTTATTTATGACCAGATTGCCATTTATTGAGCTGGTGAACATTCATTCTGCTTCAACTTTAAAATGGGCTTCTCAGCCTCAACACTATTGATGTTTGGGACTGGATCATTCTCTGCGGTGGGGGGGCCGTCCTGGGCCCTGTGGGATGTTAAGCAGCAGGCCTTGGCCTCCACCCACTAGAGGCCAGGAGTGCCCCTCCTCCAATTATGAGTGACAGATATGTTCCCAGACATTGCCCAATGTCCACCCAGGGCAAACCAGGCCCTAGCAGGAAACCTCTGCTTTGAGTGGTAGAAGCTAGTACCTGGCTTATGAAAACACTCAGCAGGTACCTTGATCATCAGAGACTTCAGTTCTCATAATGGTGGTATGGAGTCAAGACAGTTACCCACGCAAAGACCTCATCCAATTCCAGGGGGTAGGCCTGACCCAAACTATGATAAAAGGGGCTCTCTTGGCCCAGTGACTAACTGCTGCGCCTAACACCTCAGGCATTTTAACACGAGAGAGAGGTTATGAGAAGCACTCCCACCCTGGGTCCCATCTCAGCTGCAGTACGACGCAGGGCTCTGACAAGGGCTCAGGTCTGAGAAGCCACATGACTACCCCTCTGAGCTTCCTGGGCAGGGTCCAAGGGCCAGGGCCAGGGAGACCCAGGCAGAGAGCAAGCTGGGAATGGTCCTGCCTTCGGTACAAGGGCCCACGGGCACCCCTCCCTAAGGCAGTGGATCCAGCTGCCTGGGTCAGAACCCTGCACCCCACAGGGCATGGTCCTCACCTGAACAGCAGGGCCTCCTTATGCTTGGGGGTTGTCAGGGGCTTGGACACCGTAGCCCTTGCCCGAGAGCCAGGATCACATGACCCTCATCAGCATTCCCTGCTGCTGGTGAAGAAAAGTTTTCCGGAGAGTTTTTAGAGGGCTTCCACTGTATTCTTTCATCCAAGAATTACTGCGGAGCTTCTCCATTGGGCCAGGCTGTGCCGTCAGTGGCCAATGACACACCATGTGTCTTCGAGGTCTTGCCATCTTTCTAGGGCTTGTCCCACAACATGGGCTCATGTGCCTCTGACCCCAGATCCCACAGATCTTTGGGGGGTTGCTTCTTTTTCTCTGCAGCTCCACCAGGGAGAAAAACAAAGAGCGCTTGTCTTGGGGTTCCTTCCACCTCTTTGCTTCCTTTCTCTGACAGCTCAGGGAGTCAGGAGAGCTTTGTTCTTACTCACCTGTGTCTCCCCAAGCCTTTCCCTGTGCCCCAGCTCCTCTGTGGCTCCCAAAGATGTTACTTTTATGAAACTCTAAAGTCGGAGGAGCATCTGCTTTCTACGCTTTCTCCCTCTTGAAGCATGAAGGAGAGAAGCCTTGGTTGTTTGAATGAGGGAAGGACAAAGAGAGAGAGGATTTTTTAAACCAAGCTATTAATTCAAAAGATCCCATCTTATCATCTCTCCACTTAAGAAAATCTTTGCATCCTGACAAAGAGTGTGCTTTTCCTCCAAGTATTTGCCCCCAGCACTACCTGCAAAAGGGGAAAGTAAGGTCCTGGGCCAGGGTCAAGGCTCCCAAGCGCAAGGCAATCCCTGGCTCTGCAAGAGATGATCTCCCTCCAGCTGCCCAGAGCTGGCCACCAGGCAGGCCTGCATATTAATCAAGCCCCTCCCATCCCTTAGATGGGCCATTACTTCCTCTAAGATAGTTCCATCTCCCCCCATCCTGCTTGCCCACCTCCATGCCACACATACACACATACACACACACGGAGAGGCAGGGGGGCTTGGCCACAGCACCTAGAAGTTCCTTAAAATGAAATTATATATTCCTTTCCTGTGGCTGTATAACAAATTACCACACATTTAGCAGCTTAGAACAATATCCATTTATTATCTCTTGGTTTCTGTGGGTCAGGAGTCTGAGCACTGCTGAGCTCAGTCCTCTGCTTAGGGTCTCATGCAGCTGCACTCAAGGTGCTGGCTGAGGTGGGTCCTCACCCACGCTCAGTGGTTGTTGGAAGAATTCATTTCCTTGCGATCACAGAACTTAAAGCAGCTTGCTTCAAGGCCAGCAGGGAAGTATCTCTCTTCTCTAGACTGTCTTTTAAGAGCTCACATGGGTAAGTCAGGCCCACCCTGGGTGAGCTCCCTTTTGACTAACTCAAAGTGAACTGATTAGGGACCTTAGTGACATCTGCAAAATCCCTTCAACTTTTCCATGTTCTATTGGTTGGAAGCACCGCAGGTCCCACCCCTGCTCAAGGGGAGAGAACTGCACAAGGCATGCATATTGGGGTGGGGAGTAGGGGCAGGAACTTTGGGGGCCATCTTGGAACTGTCTGCCACAAATAGGTCCTTGATGAGGCTCAGAACCAAGATGTGAGCATCAGTCTTTGCTTAAAGGTAGCAGGTAATAGGGGTGGTGCCCCAGCATGGAGCTCCAGAAAGCCCCTGGAATTATGGTCTAGCCCCTGAGTCCCAGGGGCCAATGCCAGGGGGGCAGTGGATGTCCACAAAGGCTGAGCTCTCCACATCATAGTGTGTCACCCCATCATTACTACACCCCTTCTGTTACTCAGACAAGGATGATGATGATGCTGATTTTGAAGAAAGCAAGAAGGAGAATAAGGAGGAGGAGGAGGATTATTGATTTGAACACACACATT